TAAGCACTTACTACAAAACATAAAGTGCACCACAGGATAGAGCCGAACATTTCAGATTGAAATGCTAACACGTATGTATATGGTATGAAATGTCTACACACACCAGCTCCTCGAAAATCTTTAGAACTCAATAGTCTTATAATGTCAACAATCTCTACAACCCAATAATGAAAATGATCCTGTGCATACTGGTGACTAGATTTTTGAGGAAGATTCTCTGAGTTCTATTTAGAAGTCGTGACTAGTTGGAGTTCAACCCCGTTCAGATGTGAAGTAGTGCTCATTGAAACAAGTGGGTGAGGTTGATCATTAACACCATTAGATACCAGCTCACTTCTGGTCTCGAGGTTAAGCATTCATGCTTCAAACTGAAGATCCTGGGTTCGATTTCTGCAAGCTGTTAGAATCATGGATATGCATTACTGATGAGACTCGCACAAGGACGAAACGGTTGTCTAATACTTACAGGTTTCTAATGATAGTATTCTCAGTCAGTCAGTCAGTTGCAACATAGAGCTTCGTACGTATGTACATAAGTTCATGTTACCATACCACATTAGCACAGATACGCAAATGTCAATTCTAATCTCATAGTGATAAAGATAGTAGAAGTATCAATGGCAATGAAGAAGACTAGGGTTCAAAGATATTATTCAAGAAGTATAATTCAGTGAAATAAAGTTAGACAGATAAAGGTAGATGTGCTGACGAATCCAGAAGATTAAGATTTGAGAGACAACAATGAATGGATGCACTTGCGCCATTGCAAACGATTTTGAGCCATGTCATTCTAGGTCTCTAACCATTGTTGACTTTCGTCTAACGGACCCCAGCCTGGTAGTCTATATCTACCAACATGGCTCAGTCCACTCGTCAATGACTTCATTGATTTGTGCCATGTTTTGGTCTGGCCGCCCCTAGCTCTCTTCCCACCTAGTCCTACACCACAAAACATAGCTCGTCGAGGTAGTCGGTGGTTGGCCATAAGTAACACATATCCCAGCCACTTCAACTGATGAAGTTTCCATACTTCATCTATTGATCTGCCATTCTTACCTAGCACCCATATCCTAACGACAGTATTGTTTACTCGGTTGTCCCACGGTATACTAGCAATGCATCTTAAACATCTATAATCGAATACTAGTGACCTACGAACATCTTCTACTCTCACTGGCCATGTTTCACAGCCATATAGGAGAACGGAGCGAACTGCTGCGCAGTACACCCGTAGTAGTAGTCTAACAATGATTGATACATGGCTGTCTTGAATTGTCAAGAATTTAATTTATGTACAAATATATATATAATTTAATAATAATAGAGAATTAAATACAGAAATAATTTTATTTTTTTTAAGGTAAATATATTAAAAATTACCTAACATATTATTATTATTATTATTATTATTATTATTATTAATATTGAATGTACTCTTTGTGAAAAAAGTCGAAATTACCCTAATTACGATCAGAAAAAATGAAAGAGTCAACTAATTCACTACTGAATTCACCTAACCTATAATAAATGAAATAAATTAAATAAATAGTAATATTTTTAATAAATTATTATTTTTAAAATTTTTAATTTTTTGTTTCATAGAAAAAAAAAATGAAATACAGAAAGAAATAATTAGAAATTAATTAATAGGTATTTTGTTCATTTACTAGTAGAAATTATTGAGTAATTAGACATGAAAAGAGTAATTAGAATGGAGACAAATACATTCCCTCCTCCCATCCCCTGCCTGAATTATACATATAGACTGGGTTTACTGTGAATTTTTATGCAGACAAACGGACACCCGCCATATATATACACACAGAGAATGGGAAAAATAATGATGTCTTGATTTTGTCTGTTCAGTCTGTTTTTGTTGATGATAATGTTAGCAGAAGGTATGGCTGGTCCTTCATTACGTAACCGTTGGTCTGTTATGTCATACTTTGGATGGAAATAAAGTTAGATATTAAACATCGTTCGATATCGACTGTAGATGTTATGCGTCCGCGCACTGGATGGAAGATCCTTCGTTCGATTATGGCATGTGGGTGTTGTGGATGTACACTGACAAACAGTCTCCTACTAGGATGTGACGGCCGTCCAGTTCTCACAGGTTTCTGATGGTGCTCTAACAATGATTGATCATATACACTACGTTTACTGAAATTTTTTATGCAGACAAACGAACACCCGCCACATATACACATAGAGAATGGGAGAAATAATGATGTCTTGATTTTGTCTGTTCAGTCTGTTTTTATTGATGATAATGATAGCAGAAGGTATGGCTGATCCTTCATTACGTAACCATTGGTCTGTTATGTCATAGGGATTCATCTTGGTTTTTTTTGATGGGGTTAATCTATGTAATACTTTGGATGGATTAAAGTTAGATATTAACATCGTTCGATATCGACTCTAGAGGTTATGCGTTCGAGCACTGGATGGAAGATCCTGGGTTCGATTACGGCATGTGGGTGTTGTGGATGTACACTTTTAGTGAACGAGAACACAGGTGGGGAAACCGGGTTGTATACAACGAAAATTACAGAGTTACTCAGTAAAATCGGAAAACCATATCGTAAATCGTTGTTAATTTGCAAAATATCAGTTCATCATATCGAACTAGACTGTTCCTGTTGCCAAACATCAATCCATTGTCACTATTCATGCATTTCATACAAATTCCATTGTGTTCTAACTCTTCCTTTCTTGATCTTCCCCCATCTTCTGCTGCCAGACATTACGTTTACACTCACGTTATATACTACTTATAAGTAGCTCACACCACACTGTCTCCTACTAGGACATGATGGCCGTCCAGTTCTTACATGTTTCTGATGGTGGTCTAACAATGATTGATACATGATTTTAATGAAACAGTATATGATGAATAATGATACATTTTAGTTGGAAATTATAACAACTAAATTCTGTAGCTCTAATGTTAATATTCACATTTCTCTTGTAAATTAGTGTTACCGTATGAATTTTGTTAAGTTTGGCTGTATATCGATTGATTGATTATTCCCTAGTTGGCAGTTTCATGTCTCCCACATTCGGACTCCTAGTGTTGATTGGATTCTATCGATTAAGTTGAAATGTTCAGAAGATACAAGTGTTCATTAATAATTGTCTACGCTAAATACTTCGGATCCGTTGGCCAAACACCAACAGTGACAATCTACTAGGGATGAGAACAAACCACATTCTAGTGGAGGAGGAAAACGGGAAGAAGCGGTGGAAATGGATAGGACATACATTGCAGAAAGCACTCAACTGCGTCATATGTCAAGTACTCACTTGGAACCCTCAATTTAAAAGTAAAACAGGTAGGCTGAGGAACACATTATGCCGAGAAACGGAGACAGACGTTAGGGGAATGAACAACAATTGGACAGAACTGAAAAGCCAAACCCAGGACAGAGTATGTTGCAGAATACTGGTCGGCAGCCTATGCCCTGTTGCAGGTAACAACAGGCGTAAGTGAGTAATTAAATAAGTTGAAATGTAATTCCAAGACTAATTAATTAGGATTTGAATCCCATATGGGAAAATCATTTCCTTAATCAACACCTATAGTCATATTACATCAACCTCGACTTTGTAGACTCATTCAATCCACATGAAATATCAGTTTGATGTTGTGTAGAATATTGAATTGCATTGAGATCATTACTTAATTACTTACTTACGCCTGTTACCCCTGATGGAGTATTGGCCGATGACCAGCAAATTATTTTCCTTGTTAGCATTTTACTAGAGAGTTGGATTTCTACCGGATGGAGTCGCTAACTTCATGCCTAACCCTCCTCATTTACCCTGGTTTGGCACCTGCAGTAACCCTAGCTGGGCTCCAGACCGAGTTGCATTGAAATTGCTAGCTGATTTAAACTATATAACCACTGATAACAGGCTGTTTCATTCTTGGGTGGACTCTCTTGGCAGTATCTATCTGCAACCATAGATCCAATGATCGAGCTGAAGACATTCAATCTCACACGTGAACGCATCACCTATAGACCAATAATCCAAGAACCAATCCATGATTCTACAACAGGGAATACTTTAAAAAGAAAACAGTAGAACGGGTAAATATACATTCTCGGGTAGAGTTTTAGGAGGTTTGTGTTTCTAGACATTTGAAATCATCAATCAATCACTGTTAGATGACCACCATTACAAACCCGGAAGCACCGAAACACGGCCTTCTCGACCTGGTATGGGACTCATCAGTGTCAGGGCGCATCCACAACTCCCGCTCCTCACAGGATTCGAACCCGGGACCTTCGGGCTTATGCGCGAACGCCTAACCATCGGACCACTGGGCTGGAATCCAACGGTGTTAATGTCTAACTCTGATTGATCTACGTATTTTGCACGACCTCACCCATTTGTCTTTTGTAGTTACTGCCACACAAACCTCCAAAACTCTGCCCGAAAATATCGTAACAGTGCTCACTAGTGACTAGCTTCGTGAGGAAATTCTCGGAGTTCTAGTTGAGAAGACGTTACCAATGGAATTAAACCCTGTCGGTTGTAGGCAGTAACTACCAAAGACAAATGGGTGAGGATGCGCCAAATCCTTAGATTGATCAAAGTTAGACATTCACATCATTCGATGCCGACTCAGTGGTCCAGAGGTTAGGCGTACGCGCGCGCAAGACCAAAGGTCCCGGGTTCCGATCTTGCGATATTCAGGAGTCGTGCATATGTACTGCTGACTACTCCTATACCAGTACGAAACGGCCGTCTTTTAGTGCTTCCAGATTTCCAATCACAGTCTAACAATGATTGATTGATAATTTCAAATGTACATTCATCACCCCATAAGCAGTTAAACATACGAGAGGAAAACTTTTATATCATATGACAAAAAATAATTCATGATTTAAAAGAGTCTTTTCTAAATATAAATAAGTTAACAAACATTCTTCCATCTTTTATTTTCAAATATTTATTACTTCCTTCATTTAAGAAATAAACTGTCGACAAGACTAAATTAGTAGCAGTATGTGTGTGTCTAAATTCCCCTCCAAGTGTGTGTGTCTGTGAATGTGTTTAGTAGTGTGGGTAATAGTAGTAGTAGTATTAGTAGTATTAGTAGTAGTAGTAGTAGTAGTAGTAGTAGTAGTAGTAGTAGTAGTAGTAGTAGTAGTAGTAGTAGTAGTAGTAGTAGTAGTAGTAGTATTAGTATTAGTATTAGTATTAGTATTAGTAGTAGTAGTAGTAGTAGTAGTAGTAGTAGTAGTAGTAGTAGTAGTAGTAGTAGTAGTAGTAGTAGTAGTAGTAGTAGTAGTAGTAGTAGTAGTAGTAGTAGTAGTAGTAGTAGTAGTAGTAGTAGTAGTAGTAGTAGTAGTAGTAGTAGTAGTAGTAGTAGTAGTAGTAGTAGTAGTAGTAGTAGTAGTAGTAGTAGTAGTAGTAGTAGTAGTAGTAGTAGTAGTAGTAGTAGTAGTAGTAGTAGTAGTAGTAGTAGTAGTAGTAGTAGTAGTAGTAGTAGTAGTAGTAGTAGTAGTAGTAGTAGTAGTAGTAGTAGTAGTAGTAGTAGTAGTAGTAGTAGTAGTAGTAGTAGTAGTAGTAGTAGTAGTAGTAGTAGTAGTAGTAGTAGTAGTAGTAGTAGTAGTAGTAGTAGTAGTAGTAGTAGTAGTAGTAGTAGTAGTAGTAGTAGTAGTAGTAGTAGTAGTAGTAGTAGTAGTAGTAGTAGTAGTAGTATGTTGATGCCCAAAATTACTACACCAATTAAAATTGTATTCATTAAAGATACTTTAGTGAAAAAAAATGTGTTTATCATTCATTGTAAGACACTTGAGGCGCTAATGACATCCAAACTGAATAATTAAGTAAATAAATAGATAACTCGAATAAATTAAATTGAATTGTATACACACAATGTGTGTACAAAAGAATTATGATAAATAGGGATAACAACTTATTGAATATTGAATAAACAGGATGTGATTGTATATATAGAGACAGCCATTTTCAAGTATGTCTAGATGTATACTTGTTTACTAATATCACAGTCTATCATCGATCATAACAATAGACTGTTATTATTATTATTATTACTATTATTATTATTATCATTATTATTATTTATGTATATTAATGCTACTATAAATATCATTTAATACAATATAGACAGACAGACACACAACGCAGAACTTCGTACTAAAGTACATCAGTTCAGGTTGTCTGTCATACCACATCAGCACAGAGAGACGTAACTGTCAGTTCAAATCCAACAGTGATAGCGATAGTAGAATGATTAGCAGTAATGGAGAAGATTCGGGAGTGAAGATATTATTCGAAAAGTATAATTCAGTGAGAAAGATAGAGATTATGAGGAATTCAGAAGGTTAGAATTAAAAAGCACACAAAAAGTGGATGCTCCTGCGCCATTGCAAACGATTTTGAGCCATGTCGTTCAAGGTCTCTAACCATCAGTGACTTTCGTCCCGTGGACCCCAACCACGTAGCCTACATCTACCAACATGACTCAGTCCACTAGTCAATGACTTCATGGATTTCTGCCATGTTTTGGTTTGGCCGCCCCTAACTTTCTTCTAACCTACTCCAACACCACAAAATTTGATACAATATACAGTTATTTATAGATTCAAAGAAATGTTTTAATTCTGTTGGATTCCTGTGAGCGGGAAGCAGGGTTGTGGATACGCACTGATGAATTGAATACTAGGATGAAACTGTCCTGCAGTGTTTCTTTCTAATAGTAGTCTAACACTGATCAATTCATGATTTCATGGGAACTTAACAATTTTCACAATTTTATGATGAAAATCACAAGTGTACTCACTAAAGACTAGCTTTACGAAGAGATTCTAGAAGTGGATTTCAACCCTGTTGGTTGTAGGTAGTTGTCTACCAAAGACAGTGAATGAGGTTGCGCAATATCTTGGCTTGATCCAAGTTAGATATTCACATTATTGAATGTCAGCTCAGTGACCGAGAGGCTAAACTTTCGTGCCCGATACCGAAAGTCCAAAGTTCAATTTCCATGTGTGAGTGTTGTGAGTGCATTACTAACGAGTCCCACACTAGAATGAAATAGCCCATCCAGTGGTACTAGGCTAGTTATGTGTTGTATTCAGCATGCTTAGCTCACTCATTTAGTAAATGTTACCGTTGTGTATTTCATACTAAGTGTTGGGCTACGTCGTAAAGGATATATGCATAGAATAGACCCTTGTGAATAAATTCCGACGACTTTTTTCCCCGATTTGACAGTAGTTACTGTCAAGTACTATAGATTATCAGAGTTTGCCTAGTCGACTGATTTGACCACAATTTTTGCGGAGAATATTAATATCTTTAACCTACTAAGGTCTTATAAAATAATTGATCGCAGTAACGAGAAATATTGCTTGATATATATATATATATTTTGCGCTAGCCGTCTCCACTTATCAAGGAGTACATGAAATCTTGTGAACCTCAAATCAGCTTCATCCAGTTCTATAATCTGAGATAATAAAAGATTGTTATGAGACCGAGGATCATAGGTGCGGACTCAGATCTGGTTTGTAGTTATTCATTACTAACGCGTCTTTTCACTAGGATGAAGAAGCTTTTAAGCGCTTCTTGACTTCCGAACAGCTGTTCACCTTAGATTAGTTGGTCATGTAAACTATGGAAATTGGAAAATCTCCCCCCAAACATTCTTTTCTGCTAAATGTACATATATATTACTCAATTACTTACATCTGTTACCCCTAAACAAGCATAGGCTTCTGACTAACATTCTCAAATCTACTCTATCCTGGTCAGTCAGTCAGTCAGATGCAACGTAGAACTTCGTACGTAAGTACATCAGTTCATGTTGCCATTCCACATCAGCACAGAGATATAATTGTCAATTCAAATCCAATGGTAGAAGAGGTAGTAAAGGTACTAGGAGTAACCGGAGAGGTTGGGATTAGAAGATATTATTTAAGAAGTATGATTTAGTGAGAAAAGTTTAGAAAGTCAAAACTAGAGGTGTTGACGAATCCAGAAGATTAGGATTTGAGAGAACACAGAGAATAAATGCACCGGCTCCATTGCAAACGGTTTTGAGCCATGTCATTCAAGGTCTCTAACCATCGATTATTATCGTCTCCCGTACCCCAAACCAGGTAGTCGACAATTACCGACATGACTAAGTCCACTCGTCAATGACTTCATGTATTTCTGCCATGATTTGGTTTGGCCGCCCCTAACTTTCTTTCAACATATTCCTACACTACAAAACAAACCTCGACGAGGCAGTCGGTGGTTGGGCATACGCAACTCTATCCTGGACCTTCCTTTCTAGTTCTTACACAATCGTCATTCATTCTATTTCATGTATGTTTCCAATTATAGGAATCCTTTGACCTTGAGGATACCAAGTTAGGACTTGTCATGTGACGCAGTTCAACTCTTTTCTCAATATTTAGCCTACTCATTTCCGGCGCTTTTTTCCTCAACTGAAATGTAGGTTTGTTCTCTTCCTACAGTAAGCTGTGTTTTCTGATGTTGTCTGGGTCATATATGAAATATAAACTTGAAATGGAGCATAGTGTATTATTAATTACTGTCTTTGTTCAAACTAATACAATAAAATCAAACAACATTGCGAACAACAGAAAACATGTTTTACCATGTTTATTTCTAAACAATTTACTGTCAGCTGATGTTATTTTTTATAAAAATAATTTGTATCATTTTATGATATATATATAAAGTTATATTCCAGTAAGATTATCTGAAAGGGGAGACTATTTCGTAAGAACGAATACGCTGTAACCTTGAAATGCCAATACACAGCCACTTAGTATAAGATATCAAATACAATAATAAATCAATAAATATTGATTGTCAGTGTTTTCCTACTTACTTACTTACTTACTTTCGCCTGTTACACCGAATGGAGCATAGGCCGCCCACCAGTTTCCTCCAACCAACTCTGTCCTGGGCTACGCTCTCCAGTTCTGCTTAGTTTTTGTTCATTCTCCTCATATATTTGTCTAGTTCTCGGAGTAATGTGTTCATTGGCCTTCCTCTTTTCATTTTGCCTTGAAGGTTTCATGTGAGGGCTTGTCTTGTGACGCAGTTAGGTGCTTTTCGTAGTGTGTGTCCTATCCACCAACTCGATCGCTTCTTCCTGATTTCCTCCTCCACTGGAATCTGGGTTGTTTTCGCCCACACTCTGTTGTTGCTGATCGTGTCTGGCCAACGCAGTGTTTTCCTAGTGGGATATTAATTTATGAGAGTGTAGAATAAACGAGAAATTTTCATTATAGAGTTAGTTATAAAAAATTGTTCCGGTTTTTTTTAAATTGAAATCACCAATTAATCGATCATTGTTAGATCATCATTCATTACACAACTTGGAAGCAGTAGACAGTCGTTTCGTCCTGGTATGGGACTCGTCAGTGACTGTGCGCATCCACGACTCCTACACACCTCGCAGGATTCGAATCCAGTACCTCCGGTATTGTAGGCGAACGCTTAACCATTGGAGAACTGAGCCCGGTATCTAACGGTGTTAATGTCTAACTCCGATCAATTCACGGAGTTGCGCAACCTCATACACAGTCTTCGGTAGTAGTTACTGTCTACACCCGAACAGGTTGAACTTCACTGGTCACGTCTTCCCACTCACTAGAACTCGGAGAAGATTCCTCACGAAGCTAGTCACCCACTAGTGAGTACAGGTAATTTACGGGGTTGTTGTGAAGATTGTTAGAAAAGAAATGTGTAACTTAACCACCTTCACAACCCCGTAATGCACATTTTTAATTTAATGAATAATTTGGTATCAATCATTGAGTAGATTTAACAAGATGAATATGGAAATGTTATTCATTGAATATTGAAACAAACCTAGGAGATGTGATCTTTAATGTGTTTACAGCCATACAATACTTTACAGCAGTTCCATAGTAGGATTAAAAGACAGCTAGCTATTCAATATTTCATAGTGTATCAATCTGTCTATAAAACATTGGAACAGACTCACCTGGTTCCTGGAATTGTATTTGATCAACATGTCGATTGTGTGTACTTAAGCCATTGATATCTACAAGTCGCACCATAGATTTCCCGACATTCTTCAGAACAGTCCCCGTGGATGGTCGAAGATCATTGCCACGATAATATGTAACTTCTGAATATTCCATGGCCTCGGGAGTTTGAAGACGGAGATGTAAGGAGCTTTTTGAAGGATTTCGAGGCCGTGGCGGAGCTGGTAGGAGTCAAGGAGCAGAGGTCGAAGGCTGTGGTGTTGGGGACTCTACTAAGAGTCAGGGCGAGAGCGGTGTACGATGGTGTGGAGGACGCCGACTGGGAGGTGGTGACGGAAAGGCTGCTGGTGGAGTTCGACAGCCCGGCGGATAGGCAGGACGCGCTGCAGAAGTTCCGAGAGGCGCGACTGACGGTGAATGGCGACCCACTCGTCCTGGCTGTGGAGCTGACAAGATTGCTGCACCGGGGTCTGCCGAATTTGGATGAAGAGTCTCAAGCACAGCTGCAAGCGTCGCAATTCATTGAGAGTGTGCCTGCAGAAGTTGTCCAACAGTTGAGACTGGTGAATGCGGCATAACCAATGGACGTCACCGAACTGGCTAAAGTAACAAGACAGCTGATGAAATCAACAGTCGCCTCGGTGGCGTGTGAAAGACAGGCTGATGATGTCACGAAGGAGATAGAAGATAAATAATAATGAACAGTGTTGATCCATGATCTGTTCACTAATCATTACGAATAATTCAACACTCAGATTTATCAATCGTAGTCTTTAAAAACTCTTACGCTGAGAAAACTAGTAACTGACCAAATTCCTTTCCCTTGGAAGTGACAATTACTGAACTCAATCAAGTCTTACTGTAAGTATCAACACAACAGCAATTCAGGTATATCCCCCTCCAATAAGTTTTAAATACGAAAAAAACACTTATATATCTGTGTTGCATTTTGCTAGTCATTATTTAACTTTACAAAATATTCTTTAGACTTATTAATCACAATTACGGAAATATAATTCATCACACCGACGAATACAACAATATTTACAACAGATAGATTAATAATGATAATCATCGGAATTACACTCTGAAACATATAAATCATTACAAATATGATATATATATATATATATATATATATATATATATATATATATATATATATATATATTTGTAATGATTTATCTGTTCCAGAGTGTAATTTCACAAAGATTACAATTTCTTTTTTAAACAAGTAATGTATAAATCGTTCATTATCATAAATTATATTGAACATTGATAATTGAACAGTAGTAAATGTTCAATAAAAACAAAACAAATTCGAATTAATCTAATCAAATCAAATCAAATCATATGTATATATATTTGAATATATGAATAGCTATTCAGTCAAAATACTATTCAACTTATTTACTTTTGAATAATTCTCTCAATATATATAAAAATGTATAAATATTTATTCTCGCCAATTAAAAAAATGTAGGTTTGTCTAGAGTTTTCGGAGTTTCTTTCTACTAACAACAATAAAAGAAGTGCCCATTATTGTATATTACACTCAGACAGGAAATACAAACAAAACAGTAGTTTAACTTCAACAGACACACACACACACACAAAATTAGAAAAAAACTGATTTATTTCATTATTATTTATCGGAAAAATAACGTTTTTATTATTTTTTTTTTCTTATTGTGAACAATCCTCATTTGATTGGACTGAAACACATTGAACGATAATAAGATACAATGTGTATGTATGATAATTTGATGAGTTATTATTTCTCTCTTGAATATTTATTTAAAAATAAACAATGTATGCAACTAGTCAGTGATTGTGATTAATTTATGCATAGTAATTCATTGTGAATCGCCTATTTGATAAATCTTTTTCAATTTTTTTTTCATTTTTATGCAAAAAAAAATTCGATTGTGTAGACAGTGTAAATAAGAAAATGAAGCCAACAATCTAAGTAGGCGAATGAGTATCACTAATGCGTCAGTTAGGATAAATAAATAAGTGAAGTGATTTATTGGGAATAGACTTTGTCTTCAGAATAGTATTTATTTACATATATATATATTACTTGCTCCTGTTACCCCCAATGGAGCATAGGCTGCCCACCAGTTTTCTCCAACCAACTCTATCCTGGGCTTCCCTTTCCACTTTTGTCCAATGTTTGTTCATTCTTCTCATATCTTTCTCTATTTCTCGGTGTAATGTGTTCTTTGGCACTCCACTTTTCCTTTTGCCTTGAAGGTTCCATGTGAGGGCTTGTCTCGTGACGCAGTTAGGTGCTTTTCGTAGTGTTTGTCCTATCCCCTTCCAACGCTTCTTCCTGATTTCCTCCTCCACTGAAATCTGGACTGTTCCCTCCCAAAGTTCGTTGTTGCTGATGGTGTCTGGCCTTTGAATTTGAAGAATTTTGTGTAGACAACTGTTAATAAACACTTGTATCTTCTGGATGATGGATTTCGTAGTTCTCCAACTTTCCGCTGCCCAGATATGTAAAGGTGTTAACGTCCTCCAAGGCATCTCCATTAAGATTGATTTGTTCGGTGCTTGTTGTATTGTATCGGAGAATTTTACTTTTTCCTTTATATATATCATATCTGCGTCACAAGATAAGCCCTCACATGGAACCCTCAAGGCAAAAGGAAATGAGAGGAAGGCCAAGGAACACATTACACCGAGAAATAGAGAAAGATATGAGAAGAATGAACAAAATTTGGGCAGAACTGGAATGGGAAGCCCAGAAGAGAGTTAGTTGGCGAAAACTGGTCGGCGGCCTATACTCAATTAGGAGTAACAGGCTTAAGTATGTAAGTATGTAAGTGAGTAAGTAATCTTATCGAAAATCTGTTTCACTTGGTCAGATATAAAATTCATTCAGTCATTCTGTATTGATGATATGGATGTGTATATCGGATGAGAAGCTTCCGGAACTGTATCTTGTACTTGTTGTTATTCGTCAACATTGCCATTAGAATCATGTTCATTTTGATTGAAATACTTTTAATTACTATTAGAAAGATTGAAAGTGTTATGCTTGAAACTATGACCAGTTCATCTTAGTCAGTAAACGAGAGTTAAGACAAATGTTCCAGTGACACGATAGGCTAGTCGAATACATTGCCTCATCTAAATGAAGAATGAAGTTTTGATAAAGCGTAGAAAGTGTATTCTACAACAACCCAGAAAATATGAGGTCGACATGCTCACAAATCCAGCCAAATTATACAATGATAAAAACGTCCTTGGGTGAGCCACGAAAATAACCTGCTAAATCAATCCATCAACCAATGACACTCAAGGATTTTCTGGTTGGGATATATAATCTCATGAACAATTGATCGGCTAATGAATAAAATCCGAAATTAGGACCTTTATCAAGTGATTTCTGAGGATCTAATATACCCAACAGAAAGGAATTTTAACTAAATACAATATAATAAATACTGACACAGTAGTCTAGGTTT